AGTGTCAACCTTTGCAGGATAAACTTCCCCAAGTTTTTCTAACGGCTAAGAACATTCTAAACTAACACGAGTATCACAAGTGTCCAATTTAAGTGTGATTACACAGAAACACACCAAATATAACATGAAACAATTATGCACTTTTATTCATTTACAATAAATGGATATGTACATCAATTTGATTAGAGCTAAGGGCATACACTGTTTAACACAGATGAGAATTTACATCTTGGCTCACGTCCACACAACAGACTCTTGTATATTGTTGGATATGTTCATGAATAGAAGATGTCATGTATCCTCATTGATTGTAGATCTATCATCAACATCATGCTAATTTCCACTATGAAACAATTTGGGATTGACAATGATGAATTGCTAAAGAGCAAGTTGACAATCCAAGGCTTAAATCAAAAGGGAGAGTGTGCTATTGGCATAGTGCGTCTCGAGATAGAAATAGGGGACTTGACATCTTTGGCCCTTCTACATGTCATTGACGCAAAGACATCCTACCAACTACTTTTGCAACATCCTTTGTTACGTGAGACAGGGGTGGTTCCTTCAACATGGCACTGATGCTTCAAATACTACCGTAATGGAAAACAAAGGAAAGTAGTCGTCGAGTTAGAGCCTTTCGACAAAGCGGAAGCACATTTTGCCGATGCTAAGTTCTATGCTAACAAGGTTATATTTGAAGCTCTTTCGATCTCTATGTCAAAATCTTCTACAATGAAGGTTTGGAAGGAAAAGAAAGACACATTGCACAAAGAAGAAAATACATCTTCAAGTGGTGACAAGAAGCTTCTACAAAACCAACATGCATTTGCTATCTTGCCGACAACTCCACCATTGACTTCCTTTCCTTGTAACCAATCAACCCCCGTGCTTCGTTACACACCAAAGTCGAGGAGAAGGGAATGACAACTTCCTTTTGAGGTAATGGTTGCACAAATATCAAGGAGTGACACTGAAGTTCTTTAGAAGGAATTCGTGCTTCCAATCTCCATAGTATTGAAGTCGTTGGTCTCTAAACCTCCATTAAAGGGATTTGTTAAAGATTCATTAACTAGTAAAGTAGGGCAACATCAAGAAGGGTAGTTTGATCCCAATGCTGAGAAGTTCCTCAAGAAGGTAGGCTACAGAGAAGGTGAAAATCATCGATTAGGGGACCTTAAGCCAGTCCTCACAAGTGGACAAACCTATGGCCTAACAAAGGCACAAAGAACTTTACAATGTAGAGGCTCCCATATCCTTCAACAAAATGTTGGCTTAGGATACCATTGAAATCCACCAACTCGAATTTCACAAAGGAAGGCATCGTCCAACCACGTCACCATAGAAGTGGTAGACAAGAAGGAAAAGAAGCATAGGCAACAGAGTTCAGTTTTTGACCGACTAGAAGAACCGAGAGAAAGACAATCAGTGTTCGACAGGCTTGGAGGACAAGATGCTACTCCAGTGTCATCTGCTCAACTACAAAGGACTTCAGTACTCTCCCGCATAGGGCCCAAGGGTTCCAATATGAAAAAAAAAAGGCCAACAAAAAAGTCAAAGCCTATAGTGCACCATTGCTACAAAGGAAAAGTCAAAGTCTCAGAGTGTTGTTCCTTCTCGGGTGAAGATGGTGGAAAACTTCGAAGTTTCCTCTAATGAGACCTTAATAGTTAGACAATAGACTATTGTCATCACATCTCCATCATCTTCTCAATCAAAGTTTAACTTTCAACAAAGACAAGAAATGAAAAACAAAATGAGTGATAACTAAGGATGAAGACATTATCTCGGTTAACCATATCACCATTGAGGCCAAGAAACAATGGATAACTTAAAGGAGATGAACCTTGGCACTGAAGAGGAACTTAGACCAATCTGCATCAATGCACTCCTTAGCCTGGAAGAAGCTAAATACTTAAAACTACTTCAAGAGCACAATGATGCCTTTGCTTGGACATATAAGGAAATGCCCGAGTTAGACCCAAAGGTTTCTGTCCACCACCTCTCTATTAGGCACGGGGTACGACCAATTAAACAAGCACAACATCGATTCCGGTTCAAATTGATTCCGCAAATTAAAGCAGAAATAAACAAACTCATTGGAAGTGGTTTCATTTGGGAGGTGAAGTATCCAACTTGGATTGCAAACATTGTCCTTGTGATGAAGAAGAATGACCAAATTCGGGTCTGTGTTGACTTCCAATACCTAAATCAAGTTTGCCCAAAAGACGACTTTCCTTTGCCTATCACTAAACTCATGGTAGATGCAACTACAAGGCACAAGGCATTATCCTTTATGGACGGTTCAATTGAATACAATCAAATTCGTATGACACCTAAAGATAAAGAACTCATGGCTTTCTGAACACCAAATGAGATCTATTGTTATAAAGTGATGCCTTTTGAGCTTAAGAATGCCAGTGTTACGTACCAACACGCGATGCAACGGATCTTCAATGACATTCTTCACAAAAAGGTCGAGTACTACATTGATGACTTGGTTCTCAAGTCTAAGAAGAGAGAAGACCATCTCAATGAGTTGCATAACATCTTCAATAGGCTAAGAAGATATCAACTAAAGATGAACCCTCTTAAGTGTGCATTTGGAGTCACCTCAAGCAAGTTCCTTGGGTTCATTATTCGTCATCGAGGGATTGAAATTGATCAATCAAAGATTGATGTCATACAAAACATGCTAGAGCCATGAAACCTATATGAGTTGAAAAGTCTTCAATGACGGATGGCTTACATTCGATGGTTCATCTCCAACCTGGTAGGGCGTTGTTAACCATTCAACAAGCTATTGAAATAGTTGAATGGGATGAGGCCTACAAAAATGCCTTAGAAAGCATAAAGCAATACCTCCTCAAACCCTTGGTACTTTTCGCACTAATTCCTGAGAAGCCACACATCCTATACATCGCAACACAAGAGTAGTCATTAGGAGCCTTGTTGACACAAGTCAATGAGGAAGGAAAAGAGAATGCACTCTACTACCTTAGTCAGACACTAATAGGAGCGGAGTTGAATTATTCACACATAAAGAAGACTTGTCTTACTCTCATCTTTGCCACGAAGAAGCTACGACATTACATGTTAGCACATACTTTCCACCTTATCTCAAGGACAGATCCCCTCAAGTACATCATGACATGACCTATACTTCTAGGAAGATTGGTTAAATGGGCTTTCATCTTGTCAGAATTTGACATCACCTATGTCCCACAGAAGGCTATGAAAGGACAGGCATAGGTAGACTTCCTTGTAGATCACCATATTCCAGCAAATTGGGAACTTTTCAAAAACCTTCCTAATGAAGAGGTTTTCTACATAGACATCTTACCAGCATAGATGATGTTTTTCGATGGAGTAGAACATAAAGATGGTGTAGGTACCGATGTTGTATTTGTCTTGCCACAAAGAGAACTCCTTACCTACTCATTTGACAGAGTACCAAGCTTTAATCATTGGCTTAGAAATGACCCTTAACTTGGAATTCCTCCACCTCACAATATATGGGGACTCGAAATTGGTAATCAACCAATTGAAGACAGAGTATGAGGTGTGCAATGACTACTTAGTTCTCTCTCATCATTATGCAATCCAATTACCAAAGGAGTTCGAGCATGCTACCATTGAGCACGTACTTGGAAGCGAAAACAAGTAAGCGAATGCCCTTGCTAATCTAGCGGCAAGCTTAGCACTTACGGGTAATGAAGCAACAATAATACCCATTTGTGCAAAATGGGTTCTACCCCCTAAGTCACCTCGAGAAGAGACAAAACAGGAAAATAATGTGGTTTTTGTATTTACTATGGAGGTTAAGGGCTAGAGACGATCCTTCATTGACTATTTGCAGTATGAGAAGTTGCCTGAAGATCCCAGGCGTAGGGCTGAGATACGGCGTCGAGCATCTCGTTTCCTATACTACAATGACAACCTCTACAGGCACTCCTTCAATGATGCCTACATGAGGTGCATCCACGAAGACGAAATCCAAAGTGAACTCGAAAGCACACTCTAGAGTTTGTGGTGCTCATCAATCAGGACCTAAGCTCCATGATCACCTTAAGTGGATGGGCTTCTATTGGCCCACAATAATACAAGACTTATTGAATATGCCAAAAGGTGTCAGACATATCAATTTCATGGGGATTTTATTCGCCAACCACCAAAACCTCTATATCCTATAGTTGCATCGTGGCCATTTGATGCATGGGGACTTGACGTGGTTGGTCCTTTACCTAAGTCTTCTCGCCAACACCTCTTCATCCTATCAACAACAGATTACTTTTCCAAATGGGCTGAAGTAGTTCCTTTTTGAGAAGTAAAGAAAGAAGATGCTGTCAACTTCATTCGGACTCACATTGTCTACCACTACGACGTTCCATGTTACATTATCACGAATAACGGGAAGCCATTATCAATAGCATTGGTCACACAATTTTGTGGCAAGTTTGGCATTAAGTAGAGGTTATCAACCATGTATAGTGCAACGGCCAATGAACTTGCATAAGCCTTTAACAAAACCCTCTGAGAAGATTGTGTCAAAGTCCAAGAGATTGGCATGAACGTTTGGATGAGGCCTTATGGGCATATCGAACATCTTACATCACCACTACAAATGCAACTCTTTTTGCTTTAGTATATGGTGTAGAAGTTATACTCCCCTTAGAGAGACAAATGAACTCTCTAAGGATGACTACCCAAGAGGGGATTACAGAGGATGGGAATGTAAAGCTACGACTAGCTGAGCTCGAAATGCTAGACAATAAGAGGTAAGAAGCTAAACAAAGGACATGGTGCTACCAAGCTCGTTTGGCTCGTGCATTAAAAAAGAAAGTTCCCACGTGTGTTTTGTGGGTAGGGATGGTTCAAGTGTAATGCTGTTAGAGTTAGATATTACATTTAGACCGGACCGGACACTGTCAGAATCTGGAACCGGCAGCCAAAACGGTTTTTAGGCTGCCGGCCCAATACTCCTGTTGAAGTTGAACACATTCGTCTCCAGTTATCTTTCATTACTGCACGTCTGCACCACTTTCTGAGTTTCTGGGAATCTCTGGACCTCACGTATAATAAGTCTCCTACTACAGTCTCCTACTACAGTCTCCCCTGTTTTCAGGTCAACGGTCCATTTCCTTTTATTTTTTCTTTTTTCGGCACACAATCTCCAAGGCCAAGCTAAGAAGGAGGAAGAGATCATTTCTTGGTTGTTTCTCTTCAGCTTTCGATCTCAAATGGGCCGGAAGTCAAACGACTCAGAAGCTAGCCGTTGGGCTCCTTTGATCCTTCTATTGATCGGTCTCGCCTCCTGTTCTATAGTTTACATGTTAATATCCATGGTGGTCCGACCAAAGAACATTTCTTCGGTTTTAGACTTGGATTCTACGGTGCTATCGTCGTCTCATGTCAGTGGTGATGGGGAGGAAGTTTTGGGGTCAGAGGAAGGGGAATGCTGCAGGGGGGTCGAGAAATTGGAGCTTTGGGGGGCTTCTGTGAAGTGGGGTACGGATTTCAAGTTTAATAGTTCAGAGGAGTGTTGTCGAGCATGCAAGGCGATGTGCAGCGGCGGAGATGGGCCCTGCTTGTGCGATACGTGGGTTTTTTGCGGAAACAGAGAGACTTGTGGTCCGAAGTTTGGTGAGGTGAGTTGTGAATTCTTATATTCACTCCATTTTCTTTTCGTGTTCTCTATATGGTATAATTAGATGATTTTCAATTTCAGTCGTCTTTTCTTTTTCCGTTAATTGGGTGGGCTGTGATTATTAATTTAGAATATAATCTGGGTTTTTCTTTATTTCATTCATTATCTTCTTATCGTTACTCAATATGAACTGCAAAACAGTCTCATACAACTAAAATTGTCCCGCATTTAACGATTGAGCTGTGATTTTGTTGGCACGGGACATTTATAGATCTTTCAGGCTTTTAACTGAATTGAACTCTTGAACTCTAATATATGTGTTTATGTCACTAGATTATTATATTTGGTTGAGCTGTGATTTTGTTCGCACGAGACATGTATAGATCTTTCAGGGTTTTAAGTGAATTGAACTCTAACATATATGTTTATGTCACTAGATTATTACTGGAGATAGAGGAAGATGCAATCTGCTATGTGGTTGCATCAAAACCTGTTTTGGAACAGCATGCCCAGACTGTTTAATTTCAGAGCGTCTAATGCACAAGGGCATTAGCTACGATGGCAACTTAAAATGGGAGTTATCTTTGGATTCAAGAAACCAATTGCTTATTTGTCACGGCTTTGAATGATGCAATTCTGCATTCAAATGCCTCTAATGATACGATTTGGGGGATGCTAGTCCAATGGAAGTCAGTTGTGCATCCAGATGCACCGTTGTCAAATTAAACAATTCCACCTCTAAACGTTTTGAGTGTTATAAATTTTCAGACATTACATGAAAGGTTTAGAGTTTTATATGTTATCTGTGGTTGTGCTTTCAAGTGCTCCTTTTGACTGGTTGGGATTTGACTATTTTTTGCAATACTTATTCTTTCTCTTTTATAGGTTTGGCATACTTATTCTTTTCAAGTTATTTTCCTGCATATTTTGTCAAAGTTAACAAGACATATGGCCTTTTTTGTATATTGCTTTCTTAGATGGATAGATACCCTTAGCTGTTCCTTATGCAGCACCTAATTTTCTTATATCATCTTCTTGCTTTTAGTGCTGGTTGAAGAAGCAGAAGGATGCATTGGCTCCTGATCACCAGGAGTCGGGAGATCCACAAATTTGGACTTCTGGGCTTATATTTGGAAAAGGGGATGTATGTAGTTTTCAAGACTTTTAACTGCTTTTTCTTACATTATCTAGCCTTGGAATGAAGTTAACGATTCTGTTTCATCCTACCTGGCCTTTCTGATCTTAGATATTAAAAACAGAGCACTTTCATTTACAAGGTTCCTTTTCTTTCAACTTAAAAGGGGCAGAAAATTTTCAGTGTGAAACATATTAGCTATTTTCCACATGTTTTACTGCAACTGAAAAGGAGAAATACTGAAAGATGTACACAATAGAGAAAATATGATGAAAAATAAGAGATTGGAGAAGTTTAATTATGCTCATAGTAGGTCTAGAATAATTATCCTTTTCCATTGAAATTAATGACACTTGTCACTAGTTGACTGCTTTGATTTACACAGATGGTGCTTAAAAACTTGTTGAATCATGGTCACAATTATACTAGCATTCTAAGGAATCATCTCTTTTCTTTCCTATAGATACTTCTGCTGAGATTATAGCCTGCTTGTTTGACATTTGGAAACTAGCACCACTGTAATTGAAAAGTTGGCATATTGATGAACAACCTTGCTGGTCAAACAATGTTGGTGATGCTTATGGTCTTATCTCTTAGAAGACAAGCATTCACTCCAAATGGACAGTTGATATTGAAGACAGGGAAGGAGCTATATGAAACTAATTGTCCAAGCAACTCAGATAAAACTATTTGGTTCATTACTACCTTCTCTCTCTCTCTCAAAAAAAAAAGGGTTCATTCAGTTCTTCTGAACAACCAAAAATAATCATGTTATGTCTATACATAGCATGCAGACCTCCCTTAAGGTTTTACACTTTTAGTGGTTAAGACCCTGTCCTGTACATAAATAAAATAATTTTCTTGTTACTGTAATATTATAAATGTCACTATATAGATCCATATCTTTTGTGGCAGTTATGCACTAAAACCTAGGAAATAATCTGGTGGTAGTTTTGAAATGGCTGAGAGTTATGAACAATGAACAAATAGTAGTTTGATGATAATCAAGCAAATTAGCAGAAGTGGTACCTACCACTCTGTTTGTTTCATGCTTCTGAGAGGCATGAAGACAAACACTAGCCATTTTCTTCAGAACTGGTTTATGTCGAAGTTAAAAATTCTTGAAAGTTGTTTTAGAAAGCCAATTTGAATCCTTGAATTCTATCAATGAAGTTCCATTAGGTGGCATTTTGGAAATCCCTTACAAAAAGTTCAAGATGACTAGAAAATAGTTCTTTTAGGTGGTTTTGGGGTTGAGGATTTCAAGGATATATATAGTGGTGCAGAATTCAGAAACAGATGATTTCAAACCTTCCAATCCAATCTTTTTTTCTGCTTTGAAAATCCATGGGAGAGTAATCATTTAAATTCAATGAAACTGGGTCAGAGATGGAACTCAATTCCATTTTTTGCGTTGCCATCTAACAGGCTAACACAACCTTAAGGATGTGTTTTCTTTAAGGCATTGGAATAGGCTTTAGAAATTGCAGTTCAAGGAATGCCCAGAAATTTCAAATTGTATGATAAGAAATATGTTGTTCAGATGCCATGTAGTAAAGAATGGAGATTTATACACCCCTGCTGCGCCTTCAGAAACTGCATTAAATCCTTATTTCTTTTTATAATCTGATGTTTTGGTGGGATGTAAGTCTTATGACTGTAAATAGCTGAATGATGATTAAAGATGACACGGTGCAGTAGCTATGATCGAGGATAGAGACATGGTGGCATCTTTGGTGTCATGGAATTGGATTTGACTATATTTTTTTTGGAGAAAAGTTTAGACAAATTTCATTAAACTAGGAAAGAAAAAATGCCTGTCACTATACAGCGTTTCTAAGCAAGCACCTAGTTTAGCTAAGCCATCTGCAATAGGATTTAGCTCCCTTGGGATCCAAAACAGATTTGCACTTAGACAGTTCAAGGAGTTCCTTGCTTCTGCCAAGTAGTGGCTCAACCTCCGAGGACCCCTCCTTATCCCTTAGCCATTAAATGGTATTTGCTGAGTCTCCTACTATGGAGAGATTCTGAATACCCAAGCTTTTTACTATTCTGATTCCAGTGAGAGCAGCCAGCACTTCATCGTTAGTTGAGTCTGTAAATCCAATTGGGCCACTGAAAACCCAACAAATATTACCTCTTTCATCCCTCAAGATGCTCCCAATTACTTGCATCACTCCCGTTGAAGTGTAAAATCATCACACCATCACTCAATACTACTGGTTGTCTTAAGGGAGTTTAAGTGGAGTGTGGAAAAAATAGAATGGTTTGTATATTTCTGCTAAGATCATCAGTTGAGAGACCTTGGAACAGCTCTGAATTAGCCACCCATAAATTACAGAGATAGGAAATTTCTGAAATTAACTCAGTGAGAGTTCTGAGTTTATTTTCAAATAAGCGTTTATTTCTTTCCTCCCAAACTCCCCACATTACTGCATGTAACACCGTTTGCCAGTAGGCTTTGCCTCTTCTGCTTAGGCCATAACCTTGCCACTGATGAATAAAGTCTCGAATGTGCTCTGGGAAAACCCAATGATAACCTGTCAGGTTTAAGGACTGCAGCCAGACCTTTTGAGTGAACTTGCAATGAATAAGAAGGTGATCAGTTGTTTCTCCATCTTGAGACACAAGCAACAGGCGTGAGAAATGTAAAGTCTTCCCAAGCTTTTCTTCTGAAGGAGATCACAGGCGTTTATTCTCTGTAGACTGACTACGTCTGTGGGTGAAATGGTTCTATTGGAGCTATCTCATAGTAGCAACTAGCAATTTAATTGAAATAATTTTTTATTGGTAACTTTGAACTTTATTAAATATATAAAGGAATGTCTATAACTGTACAAAAAATGCCAAGCACTGCAAGACCCCTAGTAGCCCCTGTTACCAACATAAATACAACCTTTTATCTATACATTCTGTTCATTGATGTTCATCCCTTGTTTAGCTAACATGTCTGCCATAGTGTTTCCTTCCCTTGGGATCTGCCAAACCTAAACTCTCAACTCTGCTACCAGCTTTCTTATATTCTTAATATATTCTTCCATAGGTCTGAATTGCTGTTTGATAAGCTCTTCAATGTTATGTTTAGGTCTCCTTCCGCCCAGAGCACTGTTGCTCTAGAGCATCTCCATAAGATTTTTCCTCTCCTTTTGACATTGAGGTACATGAGTGTTGCCTACACTATCTGGAGGGTCCCACCTACAACTAAATAAAGAGAAAACATACTCTCAATTCTAGAGGTAAACGTATAGGAGATTAACAAGTTAGAAATAGTTTCACTACTTGCTTTGCAAAGAAGTCAAATGTAGAGAGAGAAGCACCAGCCCAGTCTTCTTTGTAGCATTTTAGTTAGAACCTGCCCTTTCCAAATAGCACTAGCCAGAAAGTTGGGAAGAAAAATCTAGAAAGTACAAGGAAGGAAAAGGTGGTTGAGAAGATGCCATTAGAAATTGGACACCACACTTGTTGTTCTGGAACAGATGGGCCAAAGGAGACACTCTCAAGAGGCTGAATAAGGTCTAAAGCAAGTGAAGCTTCACATTCCCTTAGCCTCATCTCAGTCCCAGGAGTAGATATAGTAACACTTGGTGAGATTTTTTGGTTTTTGTTGTGAGAAAGGGAATGGAGGGTAGGATATTTGTCTTTCAACAAAGGTTCCCTTAGCCAAAGATCCTCCCATAATTTTCCTTGTTCTCCATAAGGTATATCAATTCTTGTATAAGTAAGAACAGAGTTAAGAGGGAGGAAATGGCTTTCCACAAGGCCTCAGAAGTGGTTCTAGAGGTTAGACCAGCATCCCAACTCTTAAATGAAATATAGTGAATGCTTTTAATCATAACAAGCCACAATTTTTCATACCCAGAGGAAACAACCATAGCCACCCAAGAGAGAGATTTCTAAGGATCAGTTTACCTAACCCCAAGCATCCTTCTTTGCTTTTTCTCACAGTACACCAATAGATTAAGTGGTCTTTTTGGACTGACTAAGTTGCCATAGGAAATTCCTCATTATACTTACCAATCTCTTTGCTACCTTGACTGGAATTCTGAATACTGATAAGTAGTATATAGGGATGCTTGCAAAGGTGGATTTTGTTGAAGTTATTCTTCCTCTAAGGGAGATATAATTCCTTTTCCAGGTTGCCAATTTCTAATTTAAGGGAAATGCCACAACTGAATGATAAAGCAGTGTAAGCAAGGATGGTGTTAGACTTGGTTGCGGACTTTCAGTAAGCTAGTACTGAAGGTCCAGTTTTCCAGCTTCCTTTTGGACTGTGACATTGTCACACAAACTGCAGTAAAATAATATTCCAGGAGAAATCTAGTGGTTGGTTTACAATGGAAGCAATGGAGAACCACCAAGTTGTAGTTTTGTTGGGAACAATCTGTTGAAATTTGTAAGAATTGGCTGGTGAAAGTGTAGTTTACTCAATTGATTCTTTGGCTGCAGGTGAAGTTCAAATTACCAGTAATGCAATGTAGTGTGTTCTGGAAGTTCAAGAAAAGCATACATGCTCATATATAAGAGAATTCTATAGTTGGGTCTAATTCCAGTTCTACCTTTAAAAGTAGTCTGCCAAACATTTGAGCTCAAACTAGAGGATGGAGGCCTCAATTCCAATTCAAAACCTGATTTTAGAGCTAACTCCAAAAAGAAAATGGGTACTTGGTCTTTATTCTTCTTGATAAATACCATTAATGCTTTTTACTGTCCTTTTGATAAATTCTGTACACATTCTTATAAACTGCAATATGGAAATAGATAGTCATGAGTGTTTGTATTGGACTTTGTTTTCAGTGAAATTCTTATCATAATTGTCTTCCATTTCCTATGCACCATGTGTTATTGGCTTGGAAACTGAACCATTGAATCCGGGTTCAGTACCATTAAATCCGGGTGATTTCTTGATTAGTTGAAGATCTGAAGTGGTTTGATCAATTTCCCTTTTTTGATTCCCACCCCCCTTGTAGGGTATCATTGGCTTGGAAACTGAACATGGAATTCTTCATATAAAAGTAAGTCCTCATATTTTCAACCTAGTCCTTCTGATACAGATATTTATGCGTTGTTATGTTGATTTTGTATTGCCAAAGATCTCATATCCTTAATGCAGAGGTTTTTAAGTTTGATACTTGTATATTTTTCCTAGCAGATGCATTTGGTAGGGTATGAATGTAAAGTTTGAATGAGGGATAGATAGTTGGGAATGAATGTCATTTAATAAGTTTCTTTTTTAATTTTTATTTTTTTTATTACAAAATTTAATAGAAGCTGTAGGATTATTCTCATTTCTATGCATTTTTCTTGTTCATCACTTTGGGTGGAAGATGTAGTAAGAAGATGATATCTCATGGAGATAAGAGCATGCATACAAGGATAGCCCAAGATTAGGGTGATAATTAGGGATGCCAACGGGTTGGGTCTATCCAACAGAACCAAACTGATTATATTGGTTCTGGTTCTGTGGTTTTGTCCCAATTAATAATTGTGTCGGGACCAATTGTTTCTGTTCTGAACTGATTCAGACCCAAACCAATTATATAGTTAATAATATATCAAGTTCTCCTGGTTTTCTTGTAAATTTTGTTATATTTTATGTCCAAAAGGGTAAATTTGATTAATAGTATATAAGATAATTTTGGTCAAAAACACTTGTTTTATCTACATACAAACAGTTTACTATTTCACTGTCATTTTTATTAAGGTTATAAAAAATAACCTTAATAAAATTGTGGACTGTATTTTGATTCTTCCTGAGCTTTCAGGGGTGTCAAGAGAGTCATTTAGGGGTTGATTTTTGGTCTGCTTTGGAACTGGAATGGAGGGACTGAATGTTTTTTTTTTTTTTTTTTTGCACTGGATTTTGTTTCTTTTTTCTTTTGATTGGTGATCTCTCATCAGCCATTCCGATTGTACTCTTTTTTCAGATTAATGAACTTTCTTTTTTATTTGTCTTAAAAAAAATATTATCAAAAATAAAGTTTTAAATTGTTATTATCATAGGTAATTATAGATCTCAAGTGTAATTGGGTCTAATCAGGTCGGACTCAATTGTTCTGATTAATAAATGGGATGGCTCTGGGTCTATCAATATGAAACTGATTAATAATTGATTTGGGACTGGTACACCCTGCCCTGAACCAGACCCAACCCATTGACAGCTCTAGTGATAATGTTATTTTGATAGTTGAAATTTCTTGGAACAAGCTGTGGTTTAAGTGCAAGCATGGGCCGAATACCAGACAGATTGGAGTTACATGGTAAAAACATCTAGAGGACAAGTTGTAGTGAACTGGTAGATGATGATGCAGTTTGAGTGGATCCATTTTCATGCTTGGTGCATCCTTTTTTGTGATCTCTAACTTATTTGAAGGATATCTTCAGGGTAATCTTTGCCTTTTTAAGTACTCCATTAGTTTGATTACTTTCATAGAACTAAAGACCACATGCAGAAGTCCCTTGTACCTCTCTATAAGAAAAAAAAATCCACCCCCTTTATTGATAATCTTCAATTTATTACAGCTCTTCCCCGACTGTGCACCGCATTCTGTGGCATACACTCTTGAGCTGTTGGGTTTACATCATTGTGCGGGTTGCCAATTTTATCGTGCAGAAGGGCGTGGAAGCTCCTGGGATTCAAAAGGAAATAACATTAACAATGTAAGATTTATTGAATTTTGCCTTTGAAAGTCATCAATTCTTCATCCACAATATTTGATTAGGCTAGTACAGTGGACACTATATTGACAGTTGAATGTCTTCCCATTTTTTCAGTTCTTAATCCTTCTTTTCTTTTTCTCCCCCTTCTGAATTGCCATGAGATAAGTTGCAAGGTAGCCTTTAGAAAAAAGTAAAAAAGATCTAAAAGGGAAAATAGGTGAAAATTGGGACCTTTAGAAAAAAATGATAGCCTTCTTACAAAAAATAATAAAAAAAGATCAACAAGAAAAGATAATTTGATGCAAAGTATACATATGATGCCTTCGTAGATAGAAAATGGTGTTGATTCAGCCTATCCTTTTTTGATTACTATGGTACATCCCATATGGAATAAATTTTGTCCTCAACTCAAATCAACTAATAGAGCCTGACCCCAACTTTGTAGTATTTGCAACACAAATCCTGTTTCACCATTCTATTCTATCAAGGGCCATATTCATTTTTAAATTGTGAACCCTCAAATCATTTCTTACTACTTCCATCAAAGTCACTTTTGGCTTACCCCTAGCTCTTGCTGGTGGTGTAGTAGGTGGTCCCTCTCCGCGCATATACTCAAATCATCTTAATCTTAGCCTACTTTCCCTGATTTTATCATCTATTGGGGCTACTCCTAGGTTTCCACATGTAGATATTTCTAATCCTAATCCTTTCTGGTTTCACCACCCATCCATCTCAAGCCCAACATTCACATCTCCGCAATACTTATTTTTGTCTTTTTAGAGAAATATTTTTGAGCTATCAATTAAAGTTTCTTCTCCTTTTATTATAAATAAAAATTGGAGAGCCAAAAAAATAATAGAATGAGAAAACCCCAAAAATGGTATGTTTTACTTGCTATACATTGGATACATTACTAATAGTGTGTGCCCACTTTGGAAGTTGGAATCCCAATATTCTGCTTCTTCATCTCCCCTTACCATTTTGATTGCCCATCACAACTTTGCTCTGGAGATTCTGAAGGTAAATCTGGATGTTCAAAACCACTGGCTCTGATCCAGAAATTCCTAAATATTCTTAAATTTTTTAAGCCCAAGTATTACTCTGCTTATCTTCCTATTATAGCTTCTGTTGTGAACCATGCAGGCTCCTTTTGGCCCTCCTTTTGCACTGATTCAGGGCACACTTGAAGCCCAAGGAACCACATTTAAGAAGATTCCAACCGAAGCTTGTCCGCCCATAAGAAGAGGTTCAGTTGCATGGGTTGGTTCTGGCCCAGAATTTTTTATAAGCCTAGCAAATCACAATGAGTGGAGAAAAAGTTATACTGTTTTTGGGTCTGTTCTTCCTGAAGATATGGAAATTGCAGAGAAAATTGCAGAGCTTCCTACTAAACCAGATGTGTGGAATAACATTAATGTGTCTGTTTTGGAGAAACCTATTCCTTTTAGGTTCCGAAGAATCAGGACGAGTCATGGAGACTTGAATCTCAACACAAATGCAAACTCAGATTCAAATGGTTCTTAGTTATTGCATGCCCTCAACTTTGTGCATCTGTTTGCACTCTTGGGCCCCTGTTTGTGAGTTAAGGATCTTGTAGGAGCTTGAATTTATTCAATTTTGTATGCCTGGTTTACAGATATTGAATCCCCAAGTTGTTGAAAACCCAGGTGCCTTAAAAAAAGTAGGGAAATTAACAAAATGATCATCAAGAAAAAAATTAGTAGTAAAAAAAAAACAAACTAGTTGGGGCCCAAAAGTACCACCCACACCAGCATTTCAAGGCATGATCACTCAATTTGGACATGGATCTATTCCTTAGTCAAGAGTCCCTTTGCACGGATTGAAGCCATCGAATATTTATGTCAGGTTTGATGTATTTTCATGGAATAGTGGTGGGTCTTCTGAAGACCATGGACTTGGAGAACTGAATCAATTTTATTTTGAGTTCTCAAATTCTCATGGTGTTTGAATGCATTCATGAATTCACAGATTCAATGGCTAAAATCTATCGAATATACTAATAAAACATAGAAAACACAAAGCGTTGCCATTCTACGCGATTCCCAAATGCCTTTAAGCTCAGTGGATAAGAGCATGCATTGATAATGTTAAGAATGAGCCTTTCCTACATTGTGTACATGAGAATCTGGATCTCCTCCCAATAAAAAACTCTTCTAGCACGTTCAACATGAAATTGGATTCAGTCCTCAGAAAACAGTGCTCACAGCCAAATTGCAGTTGCGTATTAAGGATATCTCCCCATAAATAAAAAAGATACAAATATGGAGATGTTCCCAATGCACGGTTGTAATAGGCTGTGAGGATGGTGTGAGGACTGAATCCGGTCTCATTCAGCATGATCGTCGCAACATAATGAACATGTTTGAGATGAGTCCGGATCTGCTCCTCACACAGTGTTCCCCACATCAACCTCGCAATGTGTTTCATCCATCAGGAGCATCTTCCGTACATTGTATTATTATTCATGGGGAGATGTTCCTAATATACAATGGGATGGGGCTGTGAGGTCGGTATGAGGTGAGTTTTCCTGATTTGTTTGAGATGTGTGAGCAGAGATAATGTTAGATCATTGATTAGAAAATAACTTGTACATGATTGTAGATATAAAAGTTATATACAATAGCGACTTTACCCTTACAAGCAAAGTAAGCAAAAAGATGGGCCATTGGATTTAACCGTCTATTTACATGAAACGAAAAGGACTGAAAACTAAGTGGCAACCTTCGGATGTGAGCCCAAAGTATCTGTTCTTCCCATGAACTTGGTCCGGTATGAATTGTGAAGAGATTAACAAGTTTTTGACAATTAAAGTATATTATTATATCAACTATATTGGCTGCTGAAGTTGCTTCTAGACCACTAAGGCACGAAGCTATGCATCATAGCTTTCTATGGCCCAACAACTTCTTCCATCAACTATTGTGAGGTTTCTACTAGTGTCTTGGAGAATGAAAGCCTGTCCTACAGTGCTTGTGTTAGGATCAAATGAGCCATCTATGTGAAGAGAAGCATAATCCCTTTCACCTATCGTGTTGATGATATGTATTTGCATGCCACTTGCCATTAGATTGTTGCCAGTATTTAGCTTTTCTTATTATACCAGAAGGCATCATCTCAATTCCATCAAATATTTTTTTTATTGTGTGCCTGCCATATTAGGAATACACCATTACACAAAATTTCCCAATGTAAGAAGAGAGATCTCTTGCTTGCTTATTTGGAATTGCAAAGAACTAAGCCATTCTTCGATTAAGAGTTGCAAAGGTTGAATCACCATTGTGTTTGGATTAATCCCAATTTGTGTTTCACACTCAGTAGCGAAGCCAGGAATTTTCTTTTGGAGGGGCTAAATTAAAGTGTTACACAATAAAATGAGATAGGGAGCAGAAGAAGTAGGGTTTGAGGGAAAATGGCCTTAGAAGGTTTGGGTCTATTACAATTTTTTTTAAAGAAAAAAATAATTTTTATTTTATTTTGAGAGTTGGATGAGAGTGTTAAAGAGTAATCCTTTACATGGGGGGAGGGGGCAAAAAACTAGTTTATTAGATTTTGATCGAACCTCCACTTAGTAACCACATATTAATAATAGTTTTAATAAAAGGTTGGGTGGGGAGGACCCCACCAAGATACTTAGCTCCACCCCTGTTCACACCAAACAACCCTAGCATAAGAGCATGTAAAGAAGAGATGATGAAAGGTTTCTTGTTGTTGTAAATAGAAACAACATATTTGATCATGTGGAGATAGCCATTTAGCACACTTGTCCTTTGTTAATACAACGTCCCATAATGCTTTTCAAACAAAGACTTGGCATCTATAAGGGATATTGAGCTTCCAAAGTAGATTCCAATTGAAGTGAGGGGTTGGAGGGGAAGGGAATAATGGGAGAAAACTTTTATATGAAGATTTAACTATATAAACCCTAGAATTGCTTATTTTCCAAATCATTTGATGTGACTCATTGTAGCCACATCAAATAATTGTTGCAACACTCTTAGATCCCATGTACCTTCCCCACTTAGAAGGTCTGCTACCTTCGACTTTAGGGTAGGTGACTCACATGTTGGTACCCAAGGATCATCAAAAGCTGATATAGACGAGCCATCCTTGACAATTCATAGCAAATTTGGGTTTAAATTAGCCAATAAACTATGGGCTTGTTTCCACCATTTAGAGCTTTGCCTCTCTTTCTTTGCCGAGAAAGGATTGCATTTAGGAAAATATTTTTCCTTAACTAGTTGGCACCTTTGACTGTTCTGTTGAATAAACAACCTCCATATCTGTTTGTTGAACATGGCTTAAATCATTAGTAAGCTCTACTAAATCCTAGTCCTTTAGYTGCTTTAGGGAGGCATGGTAGGTGTTTGGCATTGGTGATGGGAACATYACAYCGTTTTCTCATAAAAATTATGTTAGGCATGTGGAGTTGTAAGCACCCTTTTCTCAGAAAACGGTGCTTATTTTTTGCTTGGAACTTGTRCTTCCACATAGGTGYTTTTTGAGAAAACAACACTAGTTTTGTTTGGTACTAGTGCTGGTAGCAACGTTTTCAACATTGATCTATATTATCCAACATCCAAGATGATGTCASATCATTGCACCATTGGTAGCAAYRCACAAWTTTCTTAGAAAAYATTGAATTTGACGTTGCTCCATATCACACTTTCCTGATTTTCAAGGCATGGTCTAGAGCAACATTTTTTTTTGGAAAAAAATGGTACCAAATAAGAGGGCGTTGTAAGCACCACAACAATCTCTAATGTGGTGCCTACATGGCGCCGTTTTCTCATCGATGCCAAACACCACAACAATTTTTTCTATG